GACCATGCGATCTAAGTTTAGCCGTTGATGTTAACGTAAGGTCACTGCTATCATGGCTCATATAATATTTTTTATAAACCCAGTGACCAGAGCTTCACGATGAAAAGTCAGTGAGGGCCCACACATAGTCTTGTGTATGCTAATGCCATAGACATTGCACTCGGAAGTCACACATTTCATCCAATCAGTCCATTCAGTCGCTGCTGAACAAACACACTGATGCAATCCCAAGGCAATTTTTCGCAGACATACCAATTTGAAAACAAACATCCAAATGACTGTATCCTGCAAAAATAGTCAACAGATTATCTTCTAGATTTAAAAAACATTGTCTCTGCCCAGCTGATATATTTAACACAACTGTCTCATTGGTTTTGACCAGACAACCAAGAGTAGTATTTCACATTAACAGCAGTTAAGTGCATGTCATGACCTCATCTGATTTGACCTGCTGTGTGTGTGTGTGTGTGTGTGTGTGGGCAGGGGCGCAGGTGTGTGTCACTCTACCCCACAAGGGGACACAGTGGATTTCTAAAGTGTAGGTCAGGTGTTTGAGTGTGTGTAACCAGGTCACCCTCCCCTTGGCACACACACAGCTGTTTTACTGACTTTGATTATAGGCCCTGCAAAAAGACAACCCTGATCATTACTTCTGAACTGAGAGGTCTGGATCATGTGATCTCATCCCTCACAGTGTGGTGAGGTCATCCCAGGTGCCTAGGTGTGTGTGTGTGTGTGTGTGTGTGTGTGTGTGTGTGTGTGTGTGTACACCTCAACGTTTACAGCTATTTCAGCTCAACCGCAACCTCAAAAACTCAAAAACCACCCGTGTCAGGTCATACCGACTGACTGACAGTGACTCTTCATGAACAGCAGCTCCACTTTATGTGTATGTGTTTTCATACTGGAATCACCCAGGCCACCGCAGTGATGAGAAATTCCCTGCACGATCAATCTAAGAAATACTGAAAGTTGCATATTGTGCTGGCTCACCACACAGCACACCACTCTGAGGACTGATCTCACTGTAAGTGGAGCAGCAGCAGCAGCAGAAGCAGAAGCAGCCTGGGTGTAGCTCATTTCTCCAGTGAGTGACACATACTTAGATTAGAGACACCCAACACCAGCCATCTATCTATCGCTATCTATCTATCACTCTCTCTCTCTCTCTCTCTCTCTCTCTCTTTTTTTCTCCCTCTCGCTCTACAGCCTGCCAGAGCCAGCTGGGCCATGAGCTCATGGTACCAATTGGGCCACGCGAGAGGACAAGAGAGACTCAGAGCTGGGTGGGGTAAGAGGGGGGGTGGGGGTAGGGGTGGGGTGGGGTGCTGCCTGCCAGCTCATCGTGTAATCTCATCTTGCTGTGGTTACTGTAAGTGAGATGGAGAAGGGAATGGGAAGTAGGGACCACAGTTCCCCATGAAAGTAATGGCTCTGGGAAGGGCGGATCACTCTACCAAATTCTCTCTGAAGCATTTACCATTTACAGTCGAACCACAAGTCTGGGAATCTTTGGGTCTCCTGATATGGAAACACATACTGGAACATTTCACCAGGGTTAAAATAGTCAAATAGCAAGCAATACATGGTATTTTAATGTCACAGGACAAATATCCAAAATACAAACAGTGTCCATTTTATACCCTCCTGATGGGGAGCAAGTAAAGCTTACAATAGTAGCATTACCATTGCCACGTGGCTCACAGATTCTCAGCTTTAACTGTTCACAAAAGTCCTGCCTTTATCCAATTTGCATGATAACTCAAAACGAAGCAAGATTTTTCACTTTTTTGTCTTTGGCAGCCTTCTTCCTCTGCGTGCATGTCCAGTAGAACGAGGTTTAACTGTGAATTTTGTAACTTTTTGAAAGCAAATCTGAAAGTATTAGTGTGGGAGGAGCATAACATTTAGTTTTTTTGGATTTACTGTAAAAAGTGCACAGAGTAGAAAACCAATAGACCAGATATAAATATTGCTGATTGAAAACAGTGGTTTATAAGATTTCATTCTGACACTTTCCCTTTCACTCCCTAATTAATTCTGTTCAGCTTACACATTGGAATCGGAATGTTTTAAATATATTGGGAAATAAGCTTACTCAATTTCTTGCTGAGAGTTAGATACCACTCTCATATCTGTCCGTTAAATACGAAGCTGGAGCCAACACCTGGAGGTTTCGTTATCACTGTGAGGTTTCATACTGCAGAAAGTCACTGTGCCTGGCCAAGAAACAGTCCCAACTGCTTATAAAACAGTGATATTCTCTTTCCCCTTGTTCCCATCCAAATGCTAAGCTAAGCTAACTGGCTGCAGGCTTCAGCTTCATATTCATCGGATAGATATGAGTGTCTATCGACTCTTCCATCTAACTCCCAGCAAGAGAGTGAGTAAGCATATTATACAAATGGTCAGTCTTCTCCCTTCTCTTTCTCCCTTTAATCACCTAAATTTTTGTGTCTGTATCGTTGCAGATCCATCAGAGATTAACTGAATATTTTGTTTGGGGTTATGACCCATGTGAAATAGAGGAGAACTCTTTATCAGCACTTAACATGGAGAGAGAAAGGAAACAGTCTGGATAGCACTCTGGAGTAAACTACTGCTTGATGTTTACCATCGTTCTGTGCCACGGTTGAAAACACTAATGTTTCTCAGTCAGAGCACATCTGTCTGGTCTTGCTCCCTCCCTTTCAGTCTATCGTAACTCCAGATCTCTGGCTCAGTCCTTGTGCAGACAGTCGGGCTGTTTCCACAGTCTGGACTGTTGCTTCAGGCTGTGGCACCACAGCCAACACACGGAGAAGATGTTTGTTAACCTCATACAAATATTAGCAGCGGCACAGCCAAGGAGTCTTTTCCAGTAGCCTTAAAAAGGCTGCTGGAAAGATTTGTTCTCTGCTGGTCCATATACACCTGTAGCCAAAAGGCGCATAGCATTAAAAAAACACAGACATGTTGTTGTGCTTTTTTGTCTTGCATAGTGCTTGCACAAGTTGCTGCTACAGGAGTTAGGGTTGAGACAGCAGATAATAGGCCTGGAGAGATGAGGTTTTAGAAGCAAGAATCTCATCTCACAAAAAACCATCAATGTAACTTTCATGCAAAGTAGGTCAAGTATTTAGTCAACAAAACACTTAGTGTTGCATTGTTAACTACTGTTTAGTGGAGCACATAATAAAATAGTCAGCATTTATATGTTATTCAGAAAATTGGTATTTATCTGAAGCATTAAATGTTTTTTTTCCAAAAACAGGTCAAAATTAGACACGATTGCCACTGCTATTGTTGCTGCTGGTCTTTTTGTTTGTTTTTTTTCCAAAGCAGAACAGAGAAGGCTGCCTGAAGAACACACTGACCTGCATAGATGAAAATCCCTGAATATTTTACTTGCATTTTTGGATGCATGCTAGAATCAAAAATGCTTTCTCCTTTCACTCCTTTGTTGTATGTGATGTACATTATGAACCTCTCAACTGTGTCCTGACCTGGCATTGTGAGTTGGCAGGGACTTTTGCAGGTGATTTTCACAAAATATTGTATTTCAACCACACTCAGACACAGGCTTCATGTTTGATCAGAGTCCAGAGTGCAACAGCCACAGTCATCACAAGCCACAAAGATCTTAATGACTGTATCTAATCCTAATCTTGCTACAGTTTTGAATGTGCATGTAAGAAAATGACTGGTTTTGTCAGCATTTAGAGTAATTTATCCCATATGCCTACCAGTGCAGATATTAACACCCATGGAAAATCCCTTTATTGCATATCTACATATCTCAAAGTTTTGTTTGAGTAAAAGCTTCCTCTGTTCTTAGAACCCTGAAAAATTGCCTGACATCAGTCTCAGCTGTGTGTATGTGTGTGTGAGTGTGTGCGCGCGCAAGTGTGGTTGTGAGCAAGTGTGCACATACAGGTGCGTGTTGTTCACCGGTGTGTTCATGCGTTTGCGCGCACATGCAGTGGTATGACCAGTGGTTGGCCAGACACCAAGGTGCTGCAAAGAAAAGCAAGATGAGTTCCTCAGAAGTCTGCTATCTCTTTGATGTGGGCCGCACTTTACTGTCAAGCCGACCACTTACGCTCACACGCTTCCTCTTACCTGCCACTGATGATCTTTCTGACCCTCATTCAGCTACAGCTCTACTCCAATTCCAGTCCAGTCTCGATGGTGTCATTGCATGTGCCTCTGCGTGCACGTGTGTGCAGGCATACAAAATGTATAACTTTTCATTTCTTTCCCCACATGTGTTGCCTAACGGTTTGCATGAATTTTGCAAGCCATTGCAAGACATATTAACTGAACTTTCATGCACAAAGACCTTCCAACTTTCCCAACAGTGCATCTCTGACACGTAAAGTTTAACCTCCTCAGTGCTGTACAGTGGAGCAAAAATGGGTTATTATTACAATACAGCCTCCCCTTTCCACTTGGATGCACAAAACTATCACTAAGCACACTACCCACTTACACACAGACCTCTGTAGCCCCAGCTGCCCATGCACAGAAAACAAAAGAGAGCTCTTTCCTGCAGGCCCCCCAGCCTCGGCCTCAGCCTCAATTCTGGCTGCAGCGATTGTGCAAGCTGTCACGTAAGGCAGCTGGTCTATGAGCGGTAAAAGGTCAGTGCCTGGAAAGAGCACATGTCACAAGTATCATTATGGTGAAACTGTTCTACTCTCTTTTTCTCCATTTAGTCTCTTTTCTAAGACACCCAATCATTTGATCATTACTTTCCGTCTGCCACCCACGTTTTACTCTTTACTTCTTCTCTAGCTCTGTGTAGCTGATAATGCATCACTTCCTGATACCTCTATGTCTGTGCAAGCTGCTGTAACTTCCCACACTCTGCTGCAGCTTGGTTAACCTGAGGTCTGGTGAGTGCCAATGGTCCATGACGCTTAATACAAAAAGGGGAAATAACATATCTGACAAGAGAAGATGAGTTTGATTGCAAATGTTTATTTCACAAAAAACATTAAAAATGAGTACATTTCAAATGAATATTGCATTTGTTTTGTCTGCATATCTCAAAGTAAAAACAATAGTCCATGAAAAAAAAAAGTGTCACAGGTACAGACACAGCTGAAATCAGGATTTGCAAGCAAAGTCTCTGCTTATCCCAAGAACTTCCTGATAGCTGCGCTGGAAAATAAAAGTTAAGTCCACTTAGACATTTTCAGACCTTCTTCAGAACCAGCATCTTCCTAGTTCCCCTCTCATGAGAGTCAGTGCAGCCTCCACACTTCCATAAGTCCATTTCTTGCACAGTCTCTTTCTCTGTGACCTTCACTGCCCACTTCCCCCGGTGCCTATACTCTCTTAAGGCAGTCCCAGGGTCACCACTTCTCATCTTTTCATGCAGTATGCAGTACAGTCCAACTCCTCCTCAGTGTCCATCAGGCTTTCCGTCCACTCCACATACACCTGACCTAGTCCACACTTGACCACTGAACTTGAACCCCCTTCCTCAGGGTAATCCAGAATCAACGTGCCGACCCAGAATGCAATGGAAGCCTGGCTTTTGCAGTGGGGTTGGGGATGGTGGTGGGGTTGTAGTTACAGCCACAGCCTCTTAATCCAGAAAAGTGAGGCAGAGAGGCTTGACACCCCCAGCTGAAGCTCAGCTCCTTGACTTTCTTTTCATCATCTTCATCATCATCATGTGAAGCATTTATAGTGGGATGTCACTTCAGCGCTCTGGGAGTGTGATGGTGGGCACCCAGTCGTACACACTGCGGCTCTCCTCACAGAACAGACTCAGCTTGTCCAGAGCAGGGTCTTTCCATGGGTTTGCACTGGGGCTCTGAAATGAAAAGAATGAGATATTTAATAATCAGATAACCTTGCAACAAACATTATAGTCTATGCAGACATGCGGTGACTTGGCAGCGTCTGCAGAACATTCAGACGGAGGAGTGATGCATGCATGATTCACCGGCTGCCGGTTCCTGACTGAGTGGGAAACGTACCGTGACAAGAATGCAGTGCGCGTCCTTGGGCTCGCCGGTCCCGTCTGCACCCACGAGGTCCGCCAGGCGCTCGATGTCGTTTACGCGCACCACGTTGATGTCGTTGTCAAAGCAGAAAGCCTGGATGAGGGTGAAGTGGATCTGAAGAGCAATATCACACTCGTACTCCTCATCGGTGGCGAGGACGCAGAATGCCACGCTGTCTGGGTCACTGAGGGAAAGATAAGAAAGGTGGTCAAAAATAAGTCCTTTATGCTTATGCTTCAAATTTAAAACAATGCCAGCTGTAGTCAAAGATTTCACGAATTGCAATACTCACACATTCATGACTTTAGCAGATTCATAAACTCCAACTGTCAGATAGTCCTGCTTCTTAGCAGCGACGAGCAGCTCTTCCAGGGCTGCGCCTGCACTTTGCACCCTTGACAAAGAAAAACACACATCATCAGGACACTAGGCACATTTAGAATAACAAGAAAGCTACAAAACATCAACCCAACATCTTGAACAATGTTGTATCCGTGAATTAGATATTTACCTATCTGCGTTTTCCATTGTGTTGTCTTGTCCGCGGATCTCTTCCAGAGTCATAGTTATAATCCAAGCGCGATCGGGATGATGCAGTGAACCAAAAAGAAAGAGGGGCTGTGTGTTTCTCTGTGTAGTCTCTTGCGTTATTCTGAGCTCTGAACAGGCTGTGGGTGGTTTTATAGCAGGTCGACGTTGTTTCTCGGCAAGGGGCGGTCTTTTCCGCGCCTGAATGCTACCATTGGCTCAGAGCAGCGGTGGTGAGGAAAGCAAAAGTCCCCGGGCAGTTACGCTGAGCTTGTTGACAACCCCACGTGGGGCAAGATTACAACCTTTCAAGAAATCCCCCCCTCCCCTCCCTCATTCCCTCACCCACCCACGGACCAAGTTGTCCTTGCCTTGTGTACAAAAACTAAAAGTCCTGTTTACGGTGGACTTGAAGAGTCACTGTATCACTGACACGTATAAAGCTTGAACCCACTGTCGCTTCAATGACCCCCCTGAATACTACGGAGCAGCTGCCATATATGACCTATAATTTAAAATTTGACCATAAATCATTTGAGAATCCCATGAAATTTTTTATTATTTTTTTTAAATATAAAGGCCTATATATGTATATATATATATATATGTTAGATTGATTGTGTCATGATGATTACACGTGGAGGTTGGGCTAGTCTTTCCACCTGCCTGCCTTGTGTTTGTAGGTTATATAATTGTTATGCACCAGGTAATGTTTTCCCATGACAGTTATAAAACCAAGGGGCACAGCAGACCGACACATTTCAGACCATCCTTCACTGACAATGCAACCGAATATGCAGACCATTTGAGGGAAAGATGCCGGGTCGGTGGAACCAGCAGTGAAGTGAACAGTCTGGAACAGTCCTTTGAGAAGTGGACTTCCCCAGCTCGGGGGAATCACTGCTGTGATATTTATAGCAAATCCAAACTTTCCCTGTAGACACAGCATTGCTTCTCCCTTAATAAACAGCTTTGTTGATGGTGCACCTGCACGCGCACACATATCCTACCAACCTGTTACCCAACTTGCTGCTGTGTTTACAGTCAGTACAGCCCGGAAGTTACGAGCAAGCGAGCAAGCCTGTCCTGACCCGAATAGAGCTTGATTTTTTTGATGGCGACCTTGTATTTGGAGGAGTGACCAAAACAGCTTGTGGCCGGCACACGCCACTTTTTGTCTGTACATTGTTAAAGGAAGCTTAATTGCCGGTCTGTCTTGACGCGTGTCGTTTCTCTAAGGAGAGAGAATAAAGCGACTTTGTGTCACAACAATACTCACGTCCTCCACCTGCCCCCTGGTCCTTTCATTGGGCTGGGGGATGTGAGTAGCCTATGTGTGTGTGCGTGAGCGTCCTGCGTGTGCTCTACACTCTTTATTACCCCACTCCATTCAGTGCCCTACGGCAGATGCCCGACAGATGCGCTTGCCACCCCCCCTCCCGAAAAGCGCCACGTGCCGCAGCCAGTAGTCTTTTCAGGTCAATTTATCTTATCAGTGGCACTGCAGGAGTTTACATTCAACATCACTCGCTGTTCGGACAGATGCTGGAGGCTGTGTATGTTTACGCACCAGCTGACTGGTCTTGCCTTAACTTGGAAATCATGTCTACTATAGTATAAGCAATGTTATACAATGTGTATGAGTAACTGAGTCTTGGAAAACAAATTATAAAAGCTCAAAACTTATCATGAAGAAAATCTTCACAGCTAAGAGAGAGTGAGTCACACCACACAATAGGGGTCCAAGTAGCACAAAGGACGCCTAATTACCAGAACATTGAGCTCTATTAAAGGTTGTTCTCATCATAGGGTTCTTGTTAAACGATGAGTCAAATAAAAAACCACTGTGTCATTTGTTTGAAAGCAAATATCAAGGTGCCCAAATGTTAACTGATTGACCTTTAACCCTATCTTACACCATCTACGGAGTTGCTGTGATGCCAGCGCAGTGTCAGAAACCTGGACTAACAGCGCCACCTGCTGGAACTTATAGCGACTGACCCCCCCAACACAGCAAGTCTCAACATGTCGAAAAAGCTCGTGACTCATGATACCACCCTCAGACTTGAGTCACCAACCAGTCCCCATATGCGTTAATTTCCCCACAGCTGAGGTTACCTCTGTGCAAGGGCGTACGTTTGGTCTCAGCATTGGTAGGGACGCAACAACCCCACCACCCCTCCAAAACAAAGACATTAGCTTTTTAATGCAGTCAACCAAACGGTTTATTAACATATAAGATCTGGATTTACATTCAGGAATGCCCATACAAAAATGTTATATATGTACAGGTTTAATTTCCATATAGGAAATACATGTGCATATGAAGTAAAATCATATATGTATTTAAAGTATTGCCTTTATATGTAAAAATTACATATGAAGTTAGAAATTGGAACAATAGAAACATGGAAAATAGAAACATGTATTTTAGTATGTTTATATTACAGACATATATTACTTAAATATATAAACATCCCAAAGCCTATCAGTATATGTTCATATTATGTATGTAAATATAAAAGCTATACATGTATGTTTAAATCTAATAAGAAATTATTTTAAAAAATCATATACAAACATAGAATTTTAAAAAACATGTTGTTTTAATTAAGTTGCATTTTGCTTTGGGTATTTCATATATGTCATAAACCTATATCTTCATATATCCAGAGGATGCATATATGTCATAATGATATATCCTCTTATAAGTGACACATATGGTAACATCACTCTTGCTATAGGGACATACAGTATATATGTCATATATGTGTCATAGGTCATGGTATAGTTAGGCATTAAAAAAAACACCATAGCATAGTAATGGCATAAAAACATCATGGAGCATGTGCCAGATGACTGTCAGCTGTTCGTCACTTCCTTATCAGCGGACATCTATATCCGCCTCCCAGAACTGGTGCTTCTGCCCTTTTTGTTGTGTTGATGTGTTGTGTTGTTGCTGTGGTTGTTTTTAGGCATTGTCATTACAATCCTTACCTGTCCTTTCTGATTGAAGTGTTTCTGTTGTGCAAACAACTTTATTAATGCAGATGAAGCTTTGTTGGGGTTCTCTGACTTTTTCAGGGAGGTTAGATGTTGTCTTTTTCTTTGAATTTGCATTTTGTTACTTGTGTTACTCTGATATTAAAAACCCACTCCTGTTACACTTTACATGTGTCTCAGCCATTTCCTTTTGTTTTCTTTGTCGTTGTGGTTTGTTAGTCACCTCGTGAATTTTATGTTACTCCTCCAGGCGGCATAAAAAGTCATTTTATAATAAGACATAAAAAAAGCCATAGTATAGTAAGACATAAAAACGTCATAGTATATGTAGTAAGGCAGTAAAGCCGTCAATAAATCTAATGTGCATGTCTTTGGACTGTGTGGGGAAGTCGGAGTACTCAGAGAGAACCAGAGCAGGCACAGGGAGAACATGCAAACTCCACACAGAAGGGCCCCAAGCCCGGGGTTCGAACCAAAAAGCTTCTCACTGTGAGACGTCAGTTCTAGCCACTTCATCACCGTGCTGCCCCATTAATAAATTATTCTATAGTAATGCATAAAAACATCATAGTATAGCAAGACATAAAAAAATCACAGCAGCCATTTTCTTGGGATTTTTTGACAGAAATGATACTCATACTTTGATATATTCACCATTTTGGGTACTCCTGCTAGCAACCTGACTGCTAGCCTACAGGTGACAGTAGCCAGGGTTAGTTTGCTAGTTAACGCTAGCTAACATGGTTACTCAGTTGACATTTTTCTGGTGATGTTAGGTACCACTGTGATATTCTCACGACATGAGCCTCGAGTTAGCCCTTGCCCTTTCAGTCAATCAAATGCTAGCATGCCTAACTTGGTTGTCTTGGAGATGTAGCCTCTTTGAGGGCACATAGGAATGATCTATGACTTCACTCCAAACATAGTGCGAACGAGTTCACTGAAATTGCGATATATAAAAAGTTTATTATTATAGATGTCCAGACATGTTTTATACATAAAGAGAACAAATGTACAGAAGACAATCATTTAAGCATATTTACATTCCATTCTTGGACTATGTCAAATGTCAGTGCATTTGTTCAACATGAGCAACATTTAAAATCTCATTGACTCTTTGATTATAACAAAGAGAAGTTCCAATACCATTTAGATTCCATTTATTACCAACAGAAACATAGAAATACACAAAAAAAATGAAACAAAAATGCCTCACTGACAAAACAGGTCATCACATTTTTGAGTATATTATACTGCAACACGGTTTACTGAGCAAATACAGTATATCAAACCCCTTATTCTGTGCACACAGGTGCTAAGATGTTTCAGGTTTGTTTATAAAGGTAAGAACTCTCCCATGAAATTGTAAAAGAGGAGATTGCAGGGGCAGACCGGGGTCGGCTGACAATAGCGAGGTGAAGGGGTTCAGCTTCTTGTTCAACTTTTTGTGGACAATTTTTCTTCCTTTACTGTACAACATAAAAACTAAGCATTCTAAAATTAAACGGAGCGTGGATACCCTTGTTACAAGGGGAAATACTAACAAACTTTACAAGTCTTCTAAATGGCCAAATGTCCTGCAATGGCTTAAGCATTACGGTGGTCAGACAACCACTTTGATCAAGCTTTATGAGAATCAAGCAATGGATGTTGCTCACTAGTCTGCAGTGCGACGTGTTGGGACTACTTATATTCACAACAATTTACTATGGGAGAGTCATTCATGACGAGCAGCGTATGGTAAGATCTGCTTGAGGTTATCAGACAGTCTAGAGTCCGACAAAGCTCACCCTAGAATTTGGTAATAAATAATAATGCCATCAAGTAATACTTCGCTTCAAGTAATCTCCTGCTGGTACCTGATACATTTTTCTGTGGTGGTGCCTACAAATTTTGGTTACCATCACCAATTTGTACAATAACGTGAGAGCCCTCAGTGCTACCTAAGTAGCATGGGGCCTCCGGCAATGCAAGCATGCATATTATCACTGCAATGTCCAGTTTTTTTAGGTAATTTACACTGCTGAAATATGGAAATCCCTTACCAGTTGTTTTTGCCCACTGGTACAAGGAAATCGGAACAAAGTGCAAATAAAGTAATAGTAGTACATCAGAAGGCTGTTAGAGAGGAAAAGTAGGGACAGAGAGACTGATCCTATATCATGATAATTACTGGTATTTCCCCTTTTTGTAAGTTTAAGCTTCCCTGTTGTACCCAAAACATTAGGAATATGGCTCCCTCTGCTGGTTATATTAATAAATATCTCCCAACTACATCTCATCTGAGCGGTGCTGCTGTAATATGACAGATGGGGGGTTTCGATCTATCCAGTTATCCTTGGACCCTGAAACCTCGTATGCCACAGCAGACGCCACTACAGGATCAATGGATCCTTCCTGTAAGGCCCCTACTCCGCCAGCCGGCCCCGGTTTCATCTCTGCGGCCTGAGCTGGACCAGGGAAGTCTGCCGAGGAGTTGCTATTGACGCCTGTTTCCGAGTCAGGTTGCTCCACCCTCTGGTAGTCGGGGGTGTGGTTCTTCTGACCCCCGGCGAAGATGGCTTTACTGTTCTCCACCTCTGCTTGGGGCATTAAGAGAAGCTCCTCCTCCTCAGGCTCCAGGTAGGATATGGCATCTGTGCTTTCTGGTGGCAATGAGCGCAAAGTCCGAGAGATGACTGCAACAATGAGAGAAAAATTGATTACCAAAGCTGGGCCAAGAAAGCCACACTGCTGAAAGACAAATTCATGAAATCCTGGTCATAATTCAGATTTAAAAAAAAGTACTACACCAGCAAGCATGTACTGCAGTTTTTTTTTTGAGGTAACTTACTGGAGGAGGGTGTGTAGAGTTCCTTCTGCTCTGTGTTTCCCCCAAATGGATTGACTGACGGGAAGATGATGAGACAGAAAGAGAGCAGGAACACCTGGAGGGTAACCCCAAGGAGAAAGTGAGGAAAAAATACTGCAGCATGACAAAGAACTTGAGACTCAATATGAAACAATAATCAGGAGAGAAAGAAGAAATGAATGCAGTCCACAAATTTACCATAACACAAGTGCTGGTTGTGCTGGCCTTCATAGTTGACATCTTCACAATACCCTGTAGTTTCCTCAGTTGCTCTATCAAGGACCTGGAGGAACCAAGAGCACACATTGACTGATACACTGACTGATGTCAACAAATTCAGAAACACTTTCGAGATATGTGTTATTACATATTAATTAAGAAGTGATATCGCAGCGTTCTTACATGTTCTGTTTCTGAAGCATTTGGACTTTCTTCTGTAATTCCAGGTTGTGTGCAGTACAGATGGCAACCCTGTGGTGGGAAGTCGTTGAAGTGATCAGTTTATTTATCCAAACATACATAGTGTGTTTGACCAACCATAAAACCTCATCAACCATTAAAATTGAAGACAAACAGTAAATCAATTCCAGCATAAATAGTCACTGGGTACTGAGCAGACAAAACATTTGCTCGGTTCTTCTTTAAGTTCCTATAATGTATTTTCTTGAGTTTGACAAGAGTAGCTGCAACTCATATATGAATAGCTATGTTACTAAGAAAAAGTCTGTTACAGGTCTGCAAAAATTACTGAATTAATTGATTAGTCAGCAATAACAGAAAATTAATTTGAAACTGTTTTCTAAGTAAAAATGCCAAAACATGGCCAAGTTCCTACAACTATATCATTGGGGTTTTATTGGTCAGACAAAATAAGACATTTGAAGTGCTGTGGGCAATTACAAATTATAATGGGCATGTCTCAGTATTTTATATTTTACAGACAAAACAATTAATGAAGAAAATCATCAGCAAATGAACTGATAATAAAAATAATTGTTAATTGCAGCACTATTTGTCTGCTTTTCCATCCATGCAAAATTTAGTTTAATCAACTTTTAAGTCCTTTAAATTCTTTAAGTTACAATAGCTGGACTATGATCAGAACAACACAACTTTTTGGCCTACCAGTAAAATTCTTCACCAAGACATTTTTATCCTTTTAGCCACATTTACCCATAATGCCATGATATTAACTATTAATTCATCTGAATGCTGGTCATTGTTTTATTTTTCTAAACCTGAGCTCTGATATAAAAGCATTTGGAGGTGGTCCCTGGAGTAAGTAACTCTGCAGGCTAGTGCAGAGAAAGCTCTGTGGAATATCGGACTGTTATCCTAAGAACAGATGTAAAAAAATTCTGTATATTTGTTAAACATTTGTAATAGAGAGAAATAAATTCTAATTTGATAAAATTTTAGCCTCTTATTCTCACCTGTTTTCCAGTCCATCAACGTACACCTTCTTCTTCTTGCGACTTTCCTGAGCAGACTGCTTGTTGCGGATCTTCCTCCTGACCCTCTTCAGGGTCCTCTCCTCTGCCTGTTACACAGAGAGGAGGAGGCTTTAAAACCAAATGTTGACATGACAGATGACAATGTGTACAGCCGCAGAAAGATCAGAAAGATTCAGAAAGATTGTGTCATCACCTTTGTGAGAGGCATGTGTGTGGGAATGGTTACTCCCTCTTTCGCCAAAAGCCGCTTCTCCTCCTCAGAGAGCACAATCTCTTTAAACTGGAACTGAAGGGAGGAAAGACAACATTTGCATTTGCCATATTTGTAGCATGCATCGTGAGCCATCTTACAAATGATACATGTCAGATAACACTGGCATGTTACATGAATCTTTGGGTCTTTGGTAAGATATAGAAGGAGTCTTGGTCCAGCTAAAAGAGTGAGAGAAACTGACCTGGTCTGTTTTGTTGGGCTGTGCTAAATCCTCTGTTGAGTCCTCGATGGCCAAAGTGCAGGGCAGCTCGCTGGTGACGTCCTCCTCCATTGCCTCACTCACCAGGTCGTCTGTCAAGGGAAAACAAAAGTACAGTTAAAATAAACTTAAGTGTCCCATTTGTTGCTTAAAAATATTAGTTAAAGTTAAAGTCTTCTAAATGGCCAAATGTCCTGCCATTTAGAAGACTTAGTTAAAAAAAATATTTCATATATTCAAGACTTCTTGGACTACACATACCCAGATCAATGAAGACATCTGTATCTGGCTTCTCTGCCCTCACACTCTGCAGGATGTCCATGTCCGTCCCTCCGCTTTGCAGCAGAGAGTAGCTGTGATCTGCCTGGACGGTTAAGGCCTCCAGGCTCTCTGTGTGCAGCTCTCCAGGGGTCATGGCAGGGTCCGAGTGCACAGGACTGGGCTGTGAATAACTGGGGCTGGGCACAACGTCACTATCACTGCCATGAGGACTTGGGCATCCCAGAAGATTGTTGTTTCCAACCACAGTGCTGCTGTCATCAGAAATGCCGCTGTCGCTGCCCAAAGGAGAATGAGAGGGACAGACAGCCCCCATGTTGTCTTCTCCCTCTAACAAGCTGGACAGAAAGTCTTCAGTATCCATACCTGTCAGCATCTGGGGGACAAAAGACAGTATTAAACTCTGAAACAAACACACAACAGGTAAGTTGTCAGGCTATTATGTTTTTAGCTGCTCCATGATGGTGTAGTTGATATATAGACTTAAAGATGTTTATATTATTGTTTACAAACCCCTGGACAGTTATTATCATGATTACATCTTATTAACTTCATACTAAGTTAATCTTTCTTTTCTGTGATTGAAGTCTTACATCTTGTTCAGACAACCAGGACTCGATGAGCCTGTTGCCATCAGGAAAGAAGGGCTCAGTAGATCCGCCCTCTCCATCGTGGAACAGCAGCCCCAGTAGGTCTGTCCCATCCATGTCCGGAAGGTCCTCAGTGACTGACATCTGTAAAAACACAGGAGCATTTGCATTAAGTTAAATATTTGTCAATAAATTTTTGGTATAGCTTAAATTCAAAATGACTTGTCATTTTTTCATCTCATACGCTGCATTACAGTTAAGCAGTGCTTCAAATATTTGCTGATAAATCAAATAGCTAATTTTTGTAAAATTGTTGTTGATGAATTTCTGTTTCATAACACTGTAAATTTACAGGAATATCTTTGGATTTTGAGCTGCTGATCAGACAAAACAAGCAAATTAAAGGATCAATATTGAACACAAAAAGAACTAATTTTTCAGTTTTAGCTGACTGAAATAGACAATGAATGCTTCTATGACTATCATATGATTCCTTATCAGAGATCCTACCATACACCTCAGCTATGATTAAATGTTATATAAAAGCCCCAGTTGTCATACTCAATAATGCAGTAGAGATAGTCAATAACACATTGATTTTAGATGTCAAGCCAAAGTACTCAGTCAGATGTAGTCATAATGAGATTTTTGTTTTACAATATCATCCTGTTATAGAATTTGTGGTGGTAATACAGTGATAAACCAGGAAAAGAGGGTGGTATAGTAAATTAAGAGATGGTCCGGTACGCTGCTATCCTACAGAAATGTCTAGTCTGCTTGGATGTTGCAGTGTAATCTGCCTTGACCTTCATGTGGAGGCTCAGGGTGCATGTAGATGCTATTTTGACCTTTGCAGCCACAGAAAATAAGGAGGGATCTAAAGTATGACAGATCATACTTCCCTGTCAGTGGCTTAATAACACGTATACTAAACTGCCATATAAACAGCTTCATATTGCATCATCGCCACGCTCCCATCATGACCTCATCTTACACTCAGCCCCGCCCCCACCTGTCTTTGTCACGAGATCTGAATACAATATCAAGTATCAAAACAAATAAGACGTGTAACGTTTAGTTAAATTCAGGAAACTATCATTTCTACACTGCATTTCTTGCTGAAGTAAAAATATATACTCATGAATGTTGTTCGGATGCAGGGTGCCTTTATTGTCTTGCAAGATGAAGGGTATTGTCTTGCAGCATAGCCATTTAAGACACAAACGGAATGACCTACTTTAAGTAGCAGCTGGCTGAAGCAATGTGATTCATGAGCGTTTGATTATACCAGGCTGAAAAATGTACCTGCATAATTTACTCCACTGGCAGAAATAAGGAAATGTCTTAGGCCAACATCGACGACTTAGCTACTTGACGTTATCTTAATATTCCTGTCAAGAGCTATATTAAAGAGGGCGTGGTCCCTCTTGACATTAAACACGCTGAAAAACATTAAACACGGCCAACGTCGACGTTAATTTTCTTACCGTGAGATGACAGGAGACAAAATACCATTCGAGTGAGTGCGTCCGTGTGTGTGTGTCTTTAGCTTTCTCTACTCCGGATTTCTTTACTGCTACCGCTCACCGTCACAGCGCTTCCTCCTGAAACTACCTTCCAACAAGGCAAAAATTGCGTCATCACGTAAAGCCGGATATTGGTACGTGATCGTCCACCGTGCTTCTGGGAAGTGTAGTACACTGTACTCATTATTGTCCCGCTCAGCGCATACTAGGGGGTGCAGTAAAACACAGAAAATGACAATACATATTATAAAATTATTATTAAAGTAATACAAATACGTATTACTATATTGTTTATTGTATATATATATATATATATACACATATATATATATGTAACACACACCAAAAAGAAATTTAATAAATAGAAATAATTTAATAATATGTATTGTCATTTTCTATATTTTGCATACAATACTCTCAGGATTACGATGCCCCCATCCATAGGGCATGAGTGGAAAATGATGTGAATCATATACTATGGCCTTTGCAGTCACCAGATATCACTATATACTGTATATAAATAAATATATATATATATATATATATATACCGTATTTTGTGTTAAAATTACTATCAAACATTTGCACCAACACAAAAGCATCATACACCTTAAAAATATTACATGAAAAAAGACAGATGCATTTAGATTTTAAATGTATTTTAATCAACACATCAGCATGAACATGGCATCAGATGATTAAAAAACCTGATTACTGAATCTCATACTGAAAGATTATTTGACCACATAACCAACTAATAACTTGGTTGGCATGTTGGTATCCACGGCTTAATGTCATTTATGGGCTTTTTCAGGCCAAAGGGGAAGATATGAAAAACTCTATTCATGTCATCACAAACATTGAGGAGTTTAATGAAACCAGTGTGTCTGATTTCATAACATTATAGAAAACTAAGGCATCGGAGAAAATTGCAATTAAACATTAAAAACACCACATTTCATGTACTGACTGCATGTTTCGCCACATTATCGCCTCAGTACAATGTTGTGGATTTCTGACTCTTTTCCTTTAGATTCATGCTACATTGATTTCTCATAGGGTGTATTGGTGTTACAGCACAACTAAGCATAAAATGGGGCTGGGCTAAAAATATCTGGCTTGCATGACCCAAATAAAAGTTATGTATGCCATGTAATCATTATTATGTTTACTTAAATTATATTTCATAACATTTCCAAATCTCATGAGGATTACAGGTCCCTGTCCTTGACAAAAAAGGAGACAATAAGGATTCACTGGTCGCAACATTCTCACAGAGACTAATTTTACTTACTAGAAGAAAGATACTAAAGTAAGAAATCCCAGATTTCAGAAGCTGAGTTGGGTTATATACCATAATTTAAATTTATACTGCTGGACTGAAAAGCACTTTTTATTTCTAATGAAATCCATGCAATCTCATCCAAGACTATAAAGTCAATTAATTTCCAGAGTGAAGCAGAGTATTTTGTCACAGAACCACACAGAGTTTAGACGTGTGCCGTAAACTACGGTACACTTTTAGTCGTTCCTTTTTACTTGTTGTAGTTGTTCCAACTACCTGTGTGACCGCAGGAATTCTCTCAACAACCCGTCTCTTGTGAGCACGGTGTAGCAGGATCCTATAGACCCCAGTGATGGAGCTCCTGCAGTCTTTCCCCTGATTGTTGAGGATGTGTTCGGAGGTGATTCCTAGTGTCTCCAGTGCTGCCTTTACCTCCATCTCTTCCTCCCCAAGCTCAGATGGATCACTCTCTGCAAGGTACGATGGGTCTAGTTTAAAGGGCTCCATGGCCCGTGGGAAGTCCACAGGGAGCAGCCACTCACAGCCCATCATCTGCTCCACTGTGTAGCGGTCAGATGGTATGGGCTGCAGGATTCCCCTGATCAGCCTCTGGCATGCCTCTGGCACCCAGGAGGGCAGGATGTAGGCGCCCTCCAGGATGCATCGCTTCAGTTTGGCCACCGTGTCTGCCCTGAAAGGCATGGTGCCTGTCACCATAAAGAACATCATCACACCCAGGGCCCAGATGTCTACAAAGATGCCAACGTAATGCTCATCCCGAAAGAGCTCAGGCGCAGCGTAAGGTGGAGAGCCGCAGAACGTGTTGAGTGTCTCATCACGGCGGCTCAGCGTGCTAAAGCCAAAGTCCCCCACTTTGACACAAGAGCTGCTGGTGTAGAAGACATTTTCTGCCTTCAAGTCACGGTGGATGATGTTGTTTTCATGCTGTGGGAGAAATTTTTTTTTAAAATGAGTCATGTAGTTTTTTCATAGTGGATCATAACTCAAACTACAGGATGTAAATATTTGGTACATCAAGGTTTAATGATAATACACATAAGACAAAGGACCAGTAGTGTGTAAATAATCTGCACTAACACAAACTGCCATATGAGATTAATTAGACTAAAAAGGTAGGCAATAAAAAAGGCAATAAAATACATTTCATTACTAACATATAGCAGACAGTATATGGCAGTTAAGACTATTACTTAAACACAACTCTTCAATATAAAATATGTCCTGACCATGTGTTTAACAGCAGAGAGGATCTGAGCAAAGACAATCTTGCTATCAGTGTCAGAAAGTTTCCCTTCTGTAGTAATTTTAGTGTAGAGCTCCCCTCCCCCTGCGTACTCCATCACCAAGTGTAACCGCGACAACGTCTCCACCACCTGAAGAAGAAAAAGAAAGACGACACGAGTGACTGACATGTCAGAGGAAGAAGACCGGATGTCGGATGGATGCCGTGATCATTGAGAAAGCCCCTAGGGGATTACATAAAGGTCATATATAAATCGATATGAGGGCGGTGTACAGTTTGAGCCAAACCTCATAGAGGCGTATGATGTTGGGATGGTGTAGTTTCTCCATGCTAGAGATCTCTCTGGACAGCAGCCTCTGGGTCTTCTGATCTAGCTTGGTTTTATCTAGGATCTTGATGGCCACCTTGTCTGGTGACAGAGCAGTCAATGAGCAGTTTCAGTGACACGTGAAACCTACTATCATACACACATTTCTAAACCATGTAGAGTAGTATTTCAGTAGGAACTTGAATCCAGAAATAATTTAATATGGAAAAGAAAAGAAAAATTAAAATTAAATTATCTTAAATTATAAAAATGCAAATATATTTTTGTTCTCATTGTGTGTATCACTGTGCATTAAAATAACTTTTTGATAATGTAAAATGTTACATACATCATATGTAGCTACAGGATAGAAAATATGTGCCTGGTTCCACTTAACAAACACAGAAATGCCCCAAAGTGACCAGGCCTGACGCTCTGCTCTGGATAATTTGATGGAGGATTAACTGCCCTCAGAAACCAATTTTCTTTATTATGTTCTCCCAGGGGTCAATTCTCACTTTTAACCCTATCTTAAGAGGAAATTTGCTTTTGTAAATGAGGGAAAATTGCCGTCCTGCAGTGACTTAAGGTCTGAGCAGATGTGGAAGATCAAGTCAGTGAAGATTAAATATGACAGGGAACACAGAGTGCTAAATTGAATCCTGTTAATTTAACTTACCACCTTTTAAATATGTGAGGAGAACACGGTTCAAATTTCAAAAATGTATACAACTTACAACTGCAATAGATCAAAATACTTTACATACAGTGCACCAAATTTGAACAACTGATATCTTGGCTGTATTCCTTTAAATGATTCATAGATATAAATTAAATAGACCTCGGGTAACTAAATACATTAAAGTTCTTGAGCAGCAAAATGGTGTTGAGATATCTAATTGTGCATTGGTATACATTATTCAGGATGGTATAAGGCTCCCTTTCAGCTGTGACATAGCTTTCAATAGGAGCATTTAAAATGCATCGCAGCTCATATTGTTTTTGGGGGGCTAAATGATACCACTTACATGCACGCACACACACACACACACACACTCGGTCATAGCATAGCACAGACCAGCATACAGCAGAGCACATATTACCCTCAAAACATAGAGCACACACACACACAGCTACATGGCTACACAGCGACAAACTCATTCTCCTCTCTTTCTCTCTAGCCTTTGATGAGGCATGCAGCAATTTTAGCCGTCGCTAAGGAAACTGGAGATCTCTAATCAATCCATCTGTTCAAGGGCAGCAGACAGTCTGTCTCTCTGTGCCTGAATCAGCCCCCTGGCCAGGCACACACCGCCTCGCTGGTGAATTGCTCCATGAGGACACACTTGTTAGTGTTGCAGCCCATTGATGGAAAGAGCTCATCAGCCAAATTATTACTTAAATCTAAAAAAGAAAACCAGAGCAGAGAGTGAATGGGAGCTTACCTTCAATTTTTATCTTTAAAGATGGATGTTTTTAGACTTCCTTTTAGCAATGACCATTCAGTTAAAATGCCCCGGCTTCTATCAATACTTAGGCGGTCAATCATGTCAGCATGACATCCATATTTAGCTGACGTGTCAAGTTTCCTCTGTGTATGTGTTGTAAATACAACTGCATTTTCATTAACATCATCTTACCTTTGGTGAGGGCATGAATTCCTAGCTTGACATGGGAGAAATTTCCGCACCCGATCTCTCCCCGAATTTTATAGAAGCCGATTCTTCTGCCCACTGTTAGCTCACGGACGACCCTGTGACCAGATGACATTACAAACGATTTCATACTGAATATTCTTTATGAAATACTAGAGTAGAGCCAATACGTCTGGGAAGTGGAAAAAGGAGAGAGAAATACAACAAATGAATAGTCTAAAATAACTTATGGCCACAAAAGACCCATAAAAAGGTGATTTCTGCTTTACCTCCTGACCCCTACCTTTCATCCTGGCACATATCCAGGTTCAGCCTTTCTAGCGGAGTGAGGCGGCGGATGGTGGCTCCCTCATCGTCTGTGTTGATGTCAGAGCTGTCCTGGTGGCTCCAGCGGGTGTACCTTTGGCCACCGGTAACCACAACTGCTCCTCCAATGGAACCTCCGACGGAGTCTCCATTAGAGTCCCCGGTCTCGGCCCCAGAAACTGAGTTGCTCCCAGCAGTGCCTGCTGTCCCGGCCCCAGCCTCAGTCCCTTCTGGGCTGCTCTCGGTGGGGCAGACAGCAGTCATTCTGCAAGGGACACCCAGGGTGGAGTGGGTTTAGCTCATGGCTGTGAGCAGTGTACAACTGGATCCAAAAAAGAAAAATCCATTATTTTAGTTTCTTAATACAATTTTGCACCTGTGTTTTTCTTGACAACATTCTGTGAAAAGTGCTTTATGTGTTGGTCTGATGCATTATGATTGATGTTATGGCGATAATGAGAGTGCCTTTTAAAATCTACCCCTTTAAATTTAAACAAAAAGGCATGATAACAAAAATACTACATTGTATAAGTACTGCCCCCCATTTTTACAATGTAGACACTACAGTGTTAGCATCACATAAATAATGTCCACATGCAAAAGTAAAATAGCTTTCCATTAATGCAGAAATTGAATAAAACAAATTGTTATGCTATCATAGATCCAGAGTAAAAGCTGACATAAAGCAAAATCATATGTGACAAAAACCTTGACTTACCTTCAGACATGTGAGTCATTTAGAAGGTAAATCCTTTCAGTGTCCTTGCCCAAATCTCATGGCTACTGCGACAGCTGGGTCTATAAACAAATGTTATGAATGTGTGTTTTCTTGTTTTTCAGCTAAACAGGACAGAATCCACAGAGTCCGCAGACCCAAGCACATGCTGCATCCAAAATTCCCAAATGTGCTGCAGCTGCAACCTGTCCTCACCACAAAGGAATATAAGGGTTCCTTTCAGTTTGTCATCTTAAGCTGAAAACAGCTGCAGTCTCATTGCATTTCAAGACTTTCCCGTAGCTGAGGTTTTAGTTTTCCTTATTTGTAGGTTTTGAAGAAAGGGTGATGAAGCTGGAGATTAGATGGACGATGTGTTATTGGATTCATGCTCACTGAAGAGGCCTGCCGAGCTTTAATGGGCTCTTTTGATTCTCCAGGGTATAAATAGGCCACAGGTTGAGGAGGAGGGAAGAGGAGATGGATGGGGGGGGGGTCGGAGGAAAGAGGTTGAACAGATGATAGTGTCAGGGTATAGCCATCGGGTGTTGAGTGAGAAAACCTGGAAGGAAGCACAAGAGAGATACAAAAATAAATGTCATTGACGTTTATTTTGACGCACATAGAAGCCTGTCTTTCCTTTTTCTTTTCTAACATTTGTATTTTAATCTGGTTTCTTTAATGTATTTTTTACCTACTTGTAGGTTTGTCAGATTTTTTTTATCATTTGTGGCAGTTTTGTAGATTTTGTATGGGTGAAGCATCTGTGACATGTGAAAGACTTTCTGTGCACATGTCAACGCATGAGTGTCTGTTAATGTCTATTGTAATCCTTGTTGAGTTAATTTAGTGCTTGAGTCCTGCTCCAAGGACGACGCAGGCTGAGGTTGCCACGAGAGCCAGGATAAACAAATGATCCTCATCACTCTCTGCCACCGAGAGGATACTTACAACCTGAAATACCAGCATGACTGTGATGACTGTCACTGTCATATGCATGTGTGATATTTGTGTGGGTATATAGGTTTGTAATTAGGTGATAACTGTTTGCTGCTCTGTGAACAAAGCTCTAACAATGTCCCATGAGAGGGAAAAGAAAAGGTGAATCAGAGGTAAAGGTGAAGCCTGATTTTGCAGAGATGTGTGTATTTCTATAATGACAATTCAAATCATCCAAATAAACAAAAATAAACAAATTATGGCGTTTAATTACTCAAAAACACATTTTATAACCACCATGTTCGGCAAAAGAAGAAAATCTATGCAGGAAGTTACTTCGAAATTACACTCTACATTGACAAAAATTTTAAATGGAATATGGAATCACAAGGATTTTTGGGCAAGAGTAACTGGGCAAGAAGGGCCTTGGTCAGAAAGGTCTCCAAGAACCCAACAGTTACTCTAACAGAGATTCAGAAGTCCTCTGTAGAGATGGGAGAATCTGCCGGAAGGATAATCATCTCAGTTGCACTTTTTAGTACAGTGACTGGATGGAAACCACTTTGAGTTAAAGTATAACAGCCTGCTTGGAGTTTGGCAAATGGCATGTAAAGGACTCTGAGAGCATTGGGGAAAAAGATTCTCTGGTCTGATGAGACAAAGATTTAACTCATTGGGCAAGATCCAACCACAATGTCTGGCAAACACCAGGTATTTCTCATCATCTGGCTAATACCATCCCTATGGTGAGGCATGGTGGTGGCAGCATCATGCTATGGGGGTTCCTCTCAGCAGCAGCGACAGAGAGAATGGTCAGATGAAGAAAACCTGCACCAGACAGCATGAAACCTGAGGCTGGGGTGATGGTTGACCTTTCAGCACAACAATGACCTGAAGCAAACAGCCAAGACAATGCTGGAGTGGCTTTAGGACAAATCAGTCGTTCAGTGGTGCAGCCAAACGCCTAGACTAATAAACTAGACTAATAAATAAGCTGCCATTACTACTCACTAGCAGTCCAAATGTGCATTGGCCCATTGCAGGAAATAGTCCCCAATAAATGCACTAGGTACTCCTGCAGTGTTTGAGTAGTGTTTGCTAAAAACTACAATCCCCAGCTGCTTTAGGAAGTTGCTAAGCCTTTTAAAAAATAATTTATATCTTCAGTAAGCATGAAACTGACCGCTACTGACAGTGTAGGGAAATCAGAAAGTAATGACCGATGGACTAAAGCATTCTTTGGTCTCTTCATGGACATAAAGGAAAGTATAGCATGAGGCTAGCCTTATCCTTTAAAGTTGCAAACTGTAATCTTTCACACATCCACACAGTAGAAAAGATGACAGAGCATAGTGCTGCATTTGTGAAGGAGTGCAAATGGTTAACTTAGAGTAACAAGGTGTTTTGGAAGATGTTCTCTCATCTGCCTCTATATCAAGATGAATGAATCTATGTTAAAGCCTCGGTAGGAAATCAAAGCAATTCTCTTTTGTCAGACCTACAGGCTCCCAGCCTTCAAACACCTTCCTATCATCGCACCATGAATATCTAAGCATTGATCTCATGCAGACTAAAAGGACTCGCTAAGAGAGGAGAGGCCTCTGCTTTACAGCACAAAGCAGCAGGCCCTGAATACCAGCCTTTTATGTGTGTAAATAGAAAGACTAAAGGACAACCATGCATGAGATAAATGCAATAAATGATGAGAGGAGAGCAGGACGAGTTCAGGGACAAAATCACCATCAGGAAATTGTATTTTTCAATAGTATTGGAACATAGCCACTACAATGTCAAATAGCTTACCAGACACTTGTTCACTGTCCTGCAATTACCACCTTTTTCAACCAAAATATCTTAATTACAAACTTCATAAAACCCTAACCCTTCTTAAACAGAGAGTGAGACACCTCCTATGTTGAGTAAAGCAATTAAAAAAAAAAAAAAAACTGGATGGACTGATATTTACTTCACATGAAGAGTATCTCCACAGAGGGTCTATAGATGGGAATAGTTACACAGATTGCTTTGTGTTTTGCTTCCACTGGATAACAGATCTACCTGGTTGCTTGGTGATAGACACCGGCCGAGCATGTTTGCTTGTGTTTCTTCAGGATGAGGATTAGGCATTAACTGGCACTGAGTGTCAAGAAAGACAGCACACAACGCTGTGTTTACAGTGCTGCACTGAGCCTGAGAGTACCCATGTTAATTATGTGCACGAGTGGATTGATGGATTTATACACACACCAACACATACACAAATAAAGGGCTCAAGAGTGTACCAGTGGGAGAATGAAAAACCTTACAATACCCAATACACACGGTGTGTATTGGGTATTGATTATGAATTAAAGCTGAATTAAAGTCATTTTAATCATACTATATGTCAAGAAATTTGACCAAACTGGTTATAGCTTCTTATAATTTATTAATTTGCTTTATTTTTTCATCTGTTTAAAATTGTTTTAAAAATATTTTTGGCTGCTGGTCAGACCAAGTAACCCATCTTAAAAGGTTAAAAACTATTGAGGGGATGTTGGTAGAGTTTGCAGTAGGCAACAAGGCTTAGATATTCTGAAAGAGTGTGTTGGAGCCCGCTGTTCTATTAAATCAGCCATCATAAAACTTACAAGATGCTCAGGAAAACAGGAACTGTAATGTTCACTACTGGGAAGATGCTTCTGATTTTGATGTAGACAGACCACGTTGTATAAACAGTTGCAATTTTAAGATGAATAACATGTTCCAATAGCAGAGCATCTGAGAGAACATCCTCCAACCAAATTTGCTGTACTCTAATAATAATATAATAATTAGTTATTCTAACATTTCGTGGCTTTCAAATTCTTAATGAATAATGATTAATTGCAGATGTATTCTGTATTGTGGACAAGCACTTCTGTCACTTATTACAGAGCAACATACATCCAGTCTACCCACCTTAGTTGTTTTATGTTTGATTTACTGACAGATCTTAAACTCTAAATCTCTGTATATGAATATGCTGTTTTATCACAGACAAGTGTTTAAGTTTGCAAACAGCCCGCCCTTCATCAGCAAACAAAATCAGCCTCACCAAGTATGGGTTCTTACTCACCAGACAGTCAATCATTTGTCTGAGGATGCCTAAAGGGAAGGAGGAGTTTGCCTGGTGCACTCTGCTGCTGATCGCACTGCTAGCATCAGCAGCCTCTTCACACACTCACAACAACGGAAAGGACGAGAGCCCATCCACAGCAGCTGTGGATCAAGAATTAGTCACTCTTTCCATAAACGCCTGTCTGTGCCTTTAGTTAGACAAGGAGCTGCTTCTCACATCACCAGCTATGCAACGTCTATCTGCAGAGGAGTTCCTCCTCTCTGTTTAGTGTCTAAAAAGCCCCTCGCTTTGCCTCCCATTCACTTTACATCCATTCCCTCAGTCCAGCCGGTGCTTGTATCCCATTCTCTCTTTTTCACTGTTTTTTACTGCTCACATTAAGCGTTCAGGCACAAAGACGACGCACGCGCCAACGCACACACATTCACACACCATCTCCTCAGACAGACACATGCACAAGCATACTCATGTGCACTCACACGCGAGGGCGCACGCACACGCATATGCACACACACACACACGCCCGCCCGCCCGCACACGCGCGCGCACACAGACACACACACACACACACACACACACACACACACACACACACACACACACACACAGGCAAGCAAGCTCTCTCTACACAAAGCTCCCCAGTGTGTTAATTGAGACGCACGGCTGACAAGAATAAAGAGCTCAACGGTGAAAGAGCTGCGACAATGAAGACTATGGGCCCTAGGAACAGAGAGACAAGCCTCTCTGGAATCTAAGGGGCAAATATTTCCCATTTCCAAAAAACAGGGTGACCTCTAAATCCCTTCCCTCTGACACACTGAGTCCAAACCAAAGCTGCACAGACCTCTATGGATGCACTGAAACTGACACAATACCTGGCTTTGCAAATGGTCAACTGAATACATTAGTAGGACGCTAACAATCTTTCCATGAATAATTATATATATATATATATATAGTATTTTGTTTTATGTTTAACTTTTTATGTATTTTGACTCCTTCTTATTCATCAGGGCCATTTCTACTGTAGCTGTGTAACGGAAATGTACAGCACACACTGTTATTCCCAAAGCCTGGCGATACACATACTACTGCATAGTTCCCAGTACAACTTGGAGAGCGACAGAGAGGTGTAGATGTCTCTGAGGCCTTAACAAAGTTACCATGACACTGTATGCAGGAAGAACAATAACATAACAATGCAGAAGACACTGTAAATCCTGCATCTGGTGGTTGAAATTGAAATGTTGTTTGGTCATTCTTTTCCTCCTGCTTTAGAGAGCCGTCTGAGTTTACATGTTATTCACTGTCTGCTCTTCAAAGGGGTTTGCATCAAAGAAAAACAAAACACATGAAGCACAATGTTTCATGTGCTCTGGCCATCAAAAGAATAAAAAAATCAGGAACAAATTTCATTCCGGCAGAAACAAACAGGCCCCAAAAAAGGACTATTTTTGCTTCTTAAATATGGAAATATATTCAAGCCGACACTGAGAGGAATGATTAAGGCAGACTTGAAAAGATTATCTCTGCAATGCAATACATTGAATACATACATTAATTTTACAATTAGGTAATTTTTCACATGGCTTCCAGTTATTTACTTCTTGAAACAGGACTAAATATGGAGCATCCTGATGGCTCACTCATTTGAATAAGATGTGCAATGCAGGGCAATTGTGAAATCCAAACATGGCAGCTGAGTCATTCAAATCTCCACCCTCTGTCTCTCTTTGCTATCAGCAAACACAGAAAGCATAAAATGCAAATAAATCCGTCAGTGTGTATAACCACTATAAACAGTTCTAGTTTCAAGCTGTTTACTTTCCTGCTCTGTCCTTATAGCCACAGGCAAGTTTTTGGAATAATTCAACAAAGCCGTTCTTAGACAAACACCCTCGTAATATGTGTCTGTATAAATCTTTGCTGAATTTGTCCTAATAAATCTACTGCACTCCTTACAAGCAATCTATTGCTTCAAACTGAGGAAGATGATAGTAGCAGACAAGCCTGCTAAAAGTGAGTTATGTTGGATGCTGCATAAAGACAGATAAGACCCCATTAGGGTGCAACAGGTGCTAGAGCCAGAAGCTGTCCATTCATAGTCTGGTGTCCTCTAACTTTGCCTGATCATCACAGGGAAAAGAGGTTAAGCACAGTCATTGTGGATCCCCCCCAAAGTTGCTCCATTACACTGGCGTATGCGTACGTCACGTGCGTGCGTAACAGCCAGGTGATACACATTGACCCTTCACAGAAGTGATGCATTGATTTAACGTTACAAAATAGGACAATACAATAATAATAAAACGACATTATGACATTATTTGCACATTATAAGATATTAAACTTCCTTATCTAATGTAATTTCAGGCTATATGACACGAGTTCTACCACCTTTATAAATTTATTTACGAAATATAACCGGGATATGTTTTGTGACTGCAATGTGTTAGAATTTAGAAATACGTTTTTCTTTTTACGACAACAGGCGAGATTTCCAAGCCGAAAGCTCCTTTCGCGAGAATAAATCGTGAAGTACATCAGTTAAGTGATTTGTCTATCCGCGTTCAATGACAGTCAACAGTTTACATCCCCTCGCGCAGCAGGCCATTCCCTATATGAGCCAGCGCATTTCTTATCAAATCAGGACAAAAAAAGAACCCAAATGTTACATTCATGAATCGGTCTTACTTGGGTGACTCTCTTCATGGACCTGTGGCGACATGCATTATCGACCTCGCTGTAAAACCATCCTCTCCGGTGCCCGGTGACATTGAGCGCACTGTCTCCGCTGCAGCTGCTCCCCGAGTTAAGTCTGTTGTGAAGAAGGAATCTGCGTGACGGGCAGGTGCAATCGACGAATCAGCGGCGGCGAAGAAGAGTCCACCGCGCACCTCTTACCCAATGAGGAACAAGAATTACAGATGGCGAGCTGCAGGATCACTTCAGTTCAGTACCACAGGAGCTGTCCAGGGCAGAGTGCAGGCAGACACAGCAGGTAACTTAACCCTGTGTGTGTCACGCACCATGCTCACGGGTCAGGCGTGTTAGCACGGCAGAGGCTCGAGATGGGGCCAGGGGCTCAGTATTAGGCTTCTATTCTAGTGTTCTAGTTGCCTACATAGCACATAAAGGCTATTTTTTTCAATATTAAGTTTGAGTTCCTCTTCAAACTGAGTTCACATTGTAAATACTTAAGTAAAGCTACTTGACAATTACAGGCCTCTGCGTACTAGGACACATAGTTAGGCTGCTAGCTACCTGACAGGCCCAGCCTATATAAGTATCGCTAGATTTACTTTTGTACTTTTTCAGTGTGATAACATGAAAAGCAAACAGCAGCGTTTATGTGTTTGCCAGGAATTGTGGCAGTGGCACGTATTCAGTGAATATAATTACTTTCATGTTACTAATAGATTAATCTTATTCGTCAATTGTAAACAGTCAAGTCAAAATGCAACTATGCACTGGACTAATCCGTAATAGACTGAGATTTTAAATCCTTGGGATTCCTCAACCAGTAGAGCTGATGAGCTACAATGAAGTATTATATATTATATTATATAGTAGTATAACTTTATTGCTCAGTACAAATGTTAGACCAGCATGTTCATTTTATTAGTATGGGGAAAAATAGCTTTCCAAAATGTATGCCTTATGAGCATTTGTCTGCACTACAGCAACTGCCCTTTTTAGCCACTTGGGGGCAGTGGAAACAGGCTATATAAACACAACATTGACACAATCAGTCAATGTTAAAAGGGTGAACTTGCTAAGAAAGAGCTGTGTGCAGATGCAACTTTAGCATTTGTTTTGAGTTGTGTTTCTGGTCCATGAAAGAATTGAAGTGTAATATTTGTTTTCCCTTCAGCTTTGCACTGATTTCCAACAGCTCCAGAGGGAAATATGTTTTTTTGCTGCTAAATGCTCCGCTATGTTCACCAGCTAGTAGCTAACTTTGTATGTGTCGTTTTGTGCTGGGCATGTAGCGTACAGTGGGTCTGGGACGAAAATCAAGACAGCAAAGTTGCAGCTACTAAACCAAACAAATGAGCTGAAAGACAATCAAAAATTCATAATAAAGACAAAAACATTTTAAAATGTATCTGTATCTCACTATGTTAATTTTAAGATATTCAAAGACTCCGTAGATGGATGCAAAACTTTTAGCCCATTTTGGAAACCAATTTTATTCCATATCTGGGTTTTTTTTTCCTACAAAAACACCATTAGTCAGTATGAAAATAAGCTTGACGAAAACTGTGGTATTAGCAGTGAGGAGCATCAGCACCATACAACAACTGTTATATGAGCTGCAATGAGAACATTTCATTCATTGTAAAATTGTCTTGGCAAGTGACCCAAATTAAAAGAACAAAATATAAATCTGAGGTATAATAAGGACACAAAGAAAAAAAAAACATGAAAATGGATTGATGAAGCACTGAAAAGTCATCAACAAAATAGGATATGATGGCAAACAGCTTTAACATAAATACAGCATCATTAGCAGGGAGTTATGTATCTCTGTTCATGTCTCAGAGTTCAATGAATGATGTTGGCGGGAACTGAGTCATTCGATGTGTTGGCAGACAGCAGGACATACTGAGGTGACATGCTGTATCCCACATGCAGTGTTTGTTCTGTATCCAAACTAAGATGTCAGCTACAGGATAATGCAGCCGCTCAAGACTGTAAGTGTGTCCCGCAGGTCATTTAACACAATCCTTTTCACATTCTCATACAACCACTGCGTGTTCTGCTTCCTCAACATTCACCATCTCCCCCTCCATCGCCACTTCCACTTGAGAGTTCACCACGTGCTGCCCATCAACTTCAGTTGTGGTCACATGTACCACCTGGATCTGCACCCCAGCCTGCTTTAATCTCTCCACGTCCTCCTCACACATCTCCGCCACCCCTCCATCCTCCACCACAACTGTTGCAGTCTCCTCCATCTCCATCACATCTACAGGCTCCACTGTGACGTGTTCCACCTGAATTCCGTCATCCAGCAGCACCGTTTCAGCTCCTTCTATGCTCTGTGTTGCTATGGCAAGGGTGGCGGTGGCGGCCGAGTCAGTAATAATCAGTTCTTCAGTAGACTTGTTGTCCTCGATGGAATGGACGTCTTTCAGGTGGGCCTTTAGCTCTTTAGGGTGGGTGAACCACATGTCACACATGGTACAGTGGTTGGGCTTGACTCCTGTGTGGCTCACAAGATGGTCTTTGAACTGGTCCCAGCTGTTGAACACACTGCTGCAGACCTGTTGGAGGTGGTACAGCAGAAAACAGTAAGTCATGGGAAAATGTACATTGCAAATTAGAAGAATAGAGAGGACCATCATCAAGAGAGGATCATCAGAATTCTCTTTTGAGTAACATGGGAGGTTAGCTGATAAAACATACTACATAGACATACTAGACGATCAGAAGATTTACCAATTAATCGTGAGGGCTAAAAACACTGATAAATATCCTTCACAATATATACATTTCTTGTTTTGTATCAGTAGTTCAAGTAAAAACTGGAACCATCAATGACATTGCTTGAAAAATGACTTCTACAATTAATCAATTATATAAGTTACCCAGTACATGCATATATTCAATATTAACTATTAAGCAAACTCATGACTGAGATATTCTTACTGTGGGGCAAAGAAAAAAGGCTTACATTAAATCATGTGAATGAATGTGGTGCTTCTTTGATGCTAATAAGTTTATTCTGTAGCAATAACTTAATTGTTACCCATGACAAATCACCAGAATTTAAGAAACTGTATGACAGTAAAATCAGTACATACAGCATTAGAACATTAAGCAGTACATCAGTCTGCACACTAAAGGAGGCATGCATCAGAATGTCTGGGCATAATGTCTTAAAGCTTTTAGCGAATAACTACATTTACATTTACATAAGGAGAAAAAAGTATTTGGACATAGCCTATTCTGTCAATACTGCACTGGCGTGGGAGTTCTCGATGGCCATGATTCTGGACAAAGTGTACCTGGCATTCATAGAGTTTCTTGCGTCCTTTCTTGGCTCCAGCCCCATTCTGACAGGCTGCCATATGGCACTTCAGAGTGCTGTTCCTTGCAAAACGCTCATGGCAATCTGGACACTCATAAGGTTTTTCACCTAAAGATGAACACAAAAACAAACACGTATCTCAAGACATGTAATGTCGCATCTGCCATCAGTATTTGTCTGTGTACTTTTCACATGAACAAATTGAGCTCAACCACCTTTATTTCTCATTCTCACCTGTGTGTTTCCGCAAGTGCTCCTTAAAGTGGCCGAAGTGGTCAAAGTGCTTCTTGCAGTATTCACAAATATGCACTTTCTTTTGGGGTTTCTGGTTTCGAGACAGCTCCTCTACATCAAAATGAAATGTGCTGATGTGCTGCTTCAGGGCACCCTCCCGTGTGTAGGCTTTACCACAGTGGTTGCACACATGCGGCTTTTCTAGTGAGCCCAGGTGTGTTTTCAGGTGCTGCTTGAGGTGGTAATACAACTTGAAGCTGCGGTCACACTTGTTGCAGCGGAACATGTTGTCCACTTGGGAAATCTGAACCTCTACGATCTCAACATTCTCCAGCACCTTGGAGGCAGTCACTGTTTCTTCCTGATACACAACCTCCTGCCAAGCACAAACACAGAAATAACAAACTTTTGCGTTAATCTTTTCACATGTAGGACTCCACAGTTTACCAGTTCATAAGCCAGAGGAACATGAAACTCAGCTTTTAATGAAAAAGGGATAATACCTCTTCTATTCCTCCCTTCTTGATGACCTGTAGCGTAGGTTCCCCTTGCTGATATTTGCTAGTTATGTCAGCAAGAAGAGCCAAAGCAGAGTCATCTGACGCCGCCTGAGCATTCTTTGCTGCATCAACCACCTCCTCCAAGCCCGACTCCTCCACTTCAATGGCCCCTTCCCCTATCACCTCAATCTCCACCTGGAGAACATTGAAAATACTCAGTCCTGCTACTTAAAGGTCACTTGTGTTCACTTCATACATTAGACAGTTGTATCACCAAGAATGAATTCTATTAGCAGAAACATGCAGGCTCTCACTGAAATTTCAGCCATTTGTAATGTCCAGCACTTTGCAAAGAATTATACCATCATACTGACCTGTTCTCCTTCCACTGAGGGTAGGGTTTCTGTAATTACATTAGATGTCTCAGCAATCTTCCTCTTTTTACCTTTGCTCTTTGCCATCACTGAGGCATTCTCATTTATCCTACAAGACAAAATAAGCTCTTGCTGAGAGGTAACAATGTTTATACTTTGCAGTCTTGTAACAAACTTCTGTCCACCTCATAAAGCACTTCACCAGCACATTCGTAAAATACATCAATTAAACTCTGAGAGTGACACAATTTAACGTCTTCAGCAGCGAAAGGTGACAGGATAACTGCGTGCAAGGCTCACTTGTTGTTGAGCGCCTTGATGGCTTCCTGCATCTGGAGGTATTCAGCAGCCTTCCAGACATCATAGGCCTCCTCTTCTCCAGCTACAGCTAGTGTGGCTGTGTAAGTGAACTCCATCAGCTGGCTAAAGGCTGTGTTGCTCACTCCTGTTAGAATATTACAGAGCAGCAGTGGTAAGTAAAAGCTGTTCTATGTAAGAAACACAGGAAAATATATCTCATGTTTGGAACATAAAACATATTCAGTTTGTAGCTCAGCCATAACTACTGAAAATGTTTGGTAACACCTATTGTAATATATACCGCATTATGATGAATAACATAAAATCTGGTTCTATTGCCACTTTCATTTTACTACATATGCATTAAGACTTCCATTTTTTACAACCTGGGTCATAATTTTCATAGTTTATGACATTGTTCCAATCAATAAGAGCTGGGGATGTGATGATTCTTTTAGAAATAGCAACAGTAGGGGAAGAAAGTAGAAACCAAAAGAGTAACACAAGTGTTCAGACATGTTCTCAAAGAAACTCTAGAGCAAGACTGATAAACCTGCCAGGCTGATGTATCAGCCAGTATGAGATTATTATGGATACGTTGACAGAAGTCTGTTTTGGGATATTACCTTAATCAGCATTGTTTTCATATCAGATAAGAGGTTTTAGTCTCATTTTATTTCCTCTAAAGAGACATCTGACTATTGATTTTCTAGAATTTAAATGAAGAACAGAATACCTTCTATCTCCACTAGTGGCTCCTGGGTAAAATCCTGGAAGAACTTGTGGAAAAACTGACTGCATGCTGCCAACACTGCTTTATGGGCTCTGAACTGATGCCCTGCAAGAGGAAAGAAGATGTGTTGCTTAGCAATTAAATTAAGGCATTGTGAAGATGACCTACAATGTATGCCTACTTACCGTCCACAATTAGAGTAATGTCTGTGAACTGGTCCAGCTGTCGTTGTTCATTAAGTTTGTCCATCATGACTTTGTAATGTGCTGGGTACTCGCTGCCTTCATCCAATTCTCCCTCCATTTCAGCCGCCATTAGTTACCTGATCCTTCCCTGCATGGAACCGAGGAAAATGGACATGCAATTCTGCATATTAATTGACCTTTGACTTTATTTTACAAGACAGTAGACAATCTGATCGGAGTAAAAAGTAGACAACTGCTGCACCTCCATACATTTTCCCACCAAACTATCTACGGTACATCACATTTCCTGGTCTTTGTGGTTCCAGTTTCTTTGCCAATAGCAAGTAACCCTTTAAAAGTGGTTTCAGAACAATTATAGTTAAACATTTCACAGTGAAGGCTCAGATACAGAAGAACCAGAAGTTTCAGATATATGCAGATATATGCACTCACGGTTTGCAATTGTGTTAAAGGAACCACATTTCATTAAATGTTAAGCAAACGCATTTGACATTTTGATTGCTGCATCACTGAATTTGCAGTTTTACAGCTGTCAGAGTGGCATCTGAACAAAGAAGGAAAACTGCAAATGAAATTGCATTGGGTGCAAAATAAGTGAAATTATCAGCGGAAAAAAAGCTGAAAAGGCTTTACAGAGTAACAACACTGCTCAGAACGAGGAAGTCAAGGCAAGGGCCCATGAGAACCACACCATTTGTAAACCTGGTTAAACGTATTTCTTGCCAGAAACATCAAAATGAACACTAACAACACTGATATATTTTAAGAGTGGATCTTAACGTGCCACACGAGGAGAATATAATTCAGCCCATGATCCGACACATGGAGCTCATTCAGGTAACAGCTTTGCTAGTTCGGCTCGATGTTAGCTTAACTAGCAAACACAATTCCTCAGAACAAAACAAGCCATTTTACTTACCCGACAAGCCTATATAACCAAAGCGCAACTTACCAGGACTAGATATACCTATGTAATCGTTTCGATACTGGAACATGAAGGGAATAAACATGTTATAACCCCAAAGTGTTACAGGTAACGGGCCTCTTAGCACGCTCGCCATTTCGCGTTTGACAATCAACATTACGTCATCAACCCGCGCATTAAAATACACTTTTCCCATACAGATTTCCTAATTAAAGCCACCGTGGGTCAAAGAACGCGTTTCAAACCATCGCTTTACATACCTCGAGTTTGGTTACGTTGTTTCAGAAAGTTGTTCTACGATAATATTTCCCTCGACGCATGTAGCGCTGTACTAGACTCGTCGCTCCAAAAAGGGCGGTCGTTGAAGCCTCCGGCCTCGGCTTCCCAGAAACCCTTGCAAAGTCCAGGACGCTGAGGAGCGTTGCTTAGTGACAGCATAGAGTGACAAGTGTTTACATGTTCTAGTGACGAACAGCTGCTTTGAATCAGGCAGACAAACACTTACCAAAAGAGAGTTAAAGTGTAGTCACATTTAATTCATATCACTTGCAACTTTTTCTTGTGAAGTAATAACAATGTTGATGTGATCCGTGCATGAAGTATAATTATTCTGCATTTGCTCACATTCTAAAACGAAAAATGCCAGCTAGGAGATATGGGGGTGTTTCATAATTTCATTGTCGTACTTATGCTAGTGCAATTTTATGTCCCCCGTTACAGCCAGTTTCCAGCTATACTTACATACAAGTAAGAAAAAATTGAGCTCTTGGGTAAAACCCGCCGACAGCCAACATCACACACCCGCAGCAATTGTGCACCAAACATACAAGAACGTCACAAGACCCAAGTAAAAATTATTAAGAATTTTATTTGCTCACAAAGTATATCTTACCATCTATATTACTCTTTGCTTTTAATTATATGGCTTGGTGTGGATTTATATGATAAATTCAGTTCCTTTGAAACTGACTGATATGCATGTTTATAGTAAATTCAGGTCAGCGTGTCCTCATATGCTATGGTAGGCTACGTGACGCTGTAAATGAGTAACACAGGGTCACAGAATAAACTAGTCTTGACTGGACACTCTAAGTCACAGGTCATTTTTTGTTGTATCAGCTGATTGCTGACTACGCCAACGGCACCACATCTCATTCATTTACTCTGTACACTGAAGCATGTTTTCTGCTGTAACTGCTACTTGTATGTGCCTTGGTGTAGCTTTAGCTCTAACTTAATTCTTACCAGAGGGATTACTGGCAGTGCTTCCACCATGCTGTTATGTACAGTGTGCAATACTACTGGTATATTCCCTCTTCTTGTCATTAGATCTCCAAGTGTAAAACCATACTACCAAGTAATTGGACATTGCTACAATATAAGACTTGAGTGCTCCTGATAGGACTCCTTGAATCAGGACAAGCAGCAGGAAATGAATTGTTCCACCTGTCAATACTATCTCAAATATATAATTTTATGAAGATACACTTGGGGTGGTCACATGCATCAGTACCTAATGCAAGGCAATCCAACAACACTGCAGAATACAGCCTAAAATCACCGTGGGCAAACACTTATTGAAAACAGCAATAAGTTGCAAATATAGTAAATGTACTGTGAATATAAATATTGTGTAAGATTATCTGATACTGGGCATGTGTTGTAATTGTGTCCTTCACCTGTACTGCTCACGGTTTCAGACAATATTTTATAAACCACAGTGGCACTGATGTGCTGACCTAGTTATAACTCTACTGGCCTTTGACCCTAGAAATCAGTGCCTTAAGTGCTTTGAACTGCATGGCCTATATCTGTAGACAGACAACTTTCTAGATTGTTTACAACTTTTTTTTTTTTTTTTTTTTAAATATATACCTAAACATTGGATTAGATTACTGCCCTTTATTGCAGTGTCACAACTGACAACAACTCCTAGTAACAACTCCTCATATAAAACTGGGTAACAACAAGAACTAACATGTCTGCAGAATAATTTGATAGAGCGCCTGGAGCTTTAAGTTAGTTTCTGCAGCTAGTGGTGTTTTTAAGAGTATTTTTCTCACGAAGCTACTGTGCTTTGTGGTTCTTTATCTGTTGCTCTGGTGAGTCAAATTCCTCTTTTCAGATTATTTGTACTATTTTTCTTCCCTAAACTAAAAGAATAGCATTTGCTCACTTAATGATCTTCTATAGTCAGTGCTAAACATCACACTGTTTATAGTTTCCTCCCTTTTCTGTCTTTGTTCTGCAAACTGCAAGATACTTTCTCAGGAATGATGCCACTTGTGCATATTAAATAACTCCTCTGTGTTTGTGTTAACCGTGCAGAAATATGCTGGACACCAACCAGAGTCCCGCCCTCTGTCCTTTTTCACTTCTCTCTCTGTCCTAAGAGTAAACAACAGTGTTGCACAATCTTCTTCAATGTTCTTGGAGATTCATTGTACACTTCTATGATATATGTTACAGAATGTTAAATTATTTAATCTACAAGGTAAACACATGCTCTAATCTCCAGGGCTAACAAATCTTAACCAGCCAACATAAAGAGGCAACTTTTTCTCCACACAGTATTCTCCTGAAGAAATTTGTCAAACCGCCATTTGCTACTGAACATTTCCCATTAAAAAAGTCTCTAACTGCAGAAAAGTGTAGGCATCAGCACACAGCTGGGACTGAACTTTGTCCTCGTTCCAGATTCGGAAAACAACAGGCACAGTATAAAAGGGGGGAGCTGCGGGGGAAGAGGCTTGTTTTTGTTCAAGGATTTGCAGCAACGAAGAACTGAGCAGGGGGAAAGAAACTTTTTAACCAACGGGTAAGTGTCAGATTTTATCCAATTATTTAAAATGCAGTAAATACCCCAAAAGACAAGTGTATTTGTTAATATTAATTTTTACAGCTACAATAAATAAACTGATAAATACTAAATCACAGCACCTAAGGGTTTTTCACAAGTGAAGTTGTCGTGCTTGCAGTGTATCATTGTATCCCACTTCAACCAGCCACTGAACAATTTTCTACAGTATTTAAAATTTCTTCCTGCCATGCATATAGCAATACATTGCAGAAATTTTAGACTCTTTGCTTTCAACATTCAAGCACACTTCCTGTTGGACTATGTACTGTTTACTTGTGTTTACTGTGTGTATCAGTGAGATTAAATGTGTATAGAAACAGCACAGATTTGAAAACTTCAAACAAACTGCCTCACCTGCACAGTTTCCCTTATATAGCAATATCCAGTCTAGCCAGAACTTGATAACTAGAGCAATTTGGAGAATGTAAAAATGATAACCCTATTCTGATCTTTTGTACCAGCCTACCATTTTTTGTTTGCTGAGTTTGACCAGTCTCTGGTGTCCTCTTGCTGCCCCCCACCCCAACTTCTCCCTCCTCCCCACCACTATCCCCTTCTTCCTCTGTGCTCAGCAGATTGGGGAAGTGAGGAGGCACCACAGAGATGTGGGCATGCCTCAGCCTGCTCCTCACTCTCTGCCTGCTCCATGGGGGCGGAGCAGAGAGTGACGGGGATGGGCCTCGCTGTCAGCCACCACCAGCCTGGAAGATAGGGGAGGTGGACCCAATGAAGGAGGCGCTGGGCCAGGTGACAGTGGTGGCACTTTTACAGGCCAGCTGACTGTTCTGCTTGGTGCAGGCTTCCCGGTATGTGCCCTTCATGTGCTAGCCAGTGTCCACCATGACATGACATGACATTGCACCCCCTCCGAAATCTGTATCAAAACATGACATTATCATTGCTTGGTTAGTCAGGAAGTGTCCTGTTAATATTTGTTTGTTAAGCAGACTATCCAGGGAAGCTTTGTGGACAACTTACTAGTTAACTTATTGTTAAACTCATGGTATCTGATTGCGCTTCTCTGAGCAGAGTGGATGGCCTGCGCCAGAGGCTGGAGAGTCAGGGTTTGAAGGATGTGACCTACATGGTCATTAACCACCAGGGGGAGGAAGCACAGCGTCTGCATGCTGTGCTAGCACAGAGACTGTCTGAGAACATCACCCTTTACAAACAGGAAGAGCAACAACCTGATGTCTGGCAGACACTGAGTGGGGAGAAAGATGACTTTCTCATTTATGACAGGTTTGTTGCCTGCAGTGGACAGTTCATTCAAAAGCAGAAGTTGTTCCTGTCTTTTTCCTCTTTATTTATTTTGACCATTAAAGTTGCCATACATTGACCTCACTATGCTTTTCTATCCCTTTTCCATCAGATGCGGCCGTCTCACCCACCACATTTCCCTCCCATACTCCATCATCGGACAAGGTCATGTTGAGGGTGCGATCAAAGATACCTACTGCAAACGCATATGTGGGAACTGCACACATGAGGTATAGACCACACACAACTACATGAATATACATGAATTCGAACATAAGTCCTCAGATAACACATCTAATCAAAAATAAGCTCATATGGTGAAATCTCTTTTTCCCCAGAGCACTGACACCCCAGAGGAGTGCAAAGGGAAAGCAGATGCACAGCCTACCACAGATGGGACCCCAGCTGTAGAGGAAGACACTGGACATGGTCATGGTCATGGTCATGGTCATGGTCATGGTCATGGTCTTGGGCATGGTCACCATCATGGACATCACCACGGGCATAATCATGGTTTTCACCCACGTGGCTTTGGCCATGGCCGTGACCATGGAACACAGGGGCAAGAGCAAGATAGTGGGGTGTCTCAAGGGCAACAACAGGCAGAATTAGGACAGATGCAGCAAGCAGTGCAAGTGCACCTGGTGTCACAGGAGGCCAATGGAGCCCCTGTGAGGCCTTGAGTACCACAGAAGGCTAGGTGAAAGTCAAAGTACAGCTGACAGTGGACAGCAGGCTCTGACAATGAAGCCTCTCCTAAGGTCAGCTGATGCTGACACTGACGCAGGCTGTTCGGCGAGGCAGGGAGCAAACAACCGGTCGGTCTCTGACACTGTGATAAGGCTCTGCCCGCCTCCTGACAGTGACACGGACTGATAGGTGATGCAGCCAATAATGTTAGGGAGACCTGACAGTGACGCTCGCCTCCTGCTGAATGACAGCAGCCTCAGCCAGCCCAATGAGCCTGACCCCCAGGTGTCGTGAGCTGAGGATGAGAGCCTCACCAGCCAGCCCAATGACCCTGACCCCCAGGTGTCGTTAGCTGAGGATGAGAGCCTCACCAGCCAGCCCAATGACCCTGACCCCCAGGTGTCGTGAGCTGAGGATGAGAGCCTCCCCAGCCAGCCCAATGACCCTGACCCCCAGGTGTCGTGAGCTGAGCATGAGAGCGTCAACAGCCAGCCCAATGACCCTGACCTCCAGGTGTTGCAAGTTGAGGGTGAGAGCAGCTGTAAGCTGGCTCTGATATCCTCATATTAACATCAGCCAGCAACACCAGGGTCAAGCGCTCTTTTAACCAACAAGTATTACCCTGGGAAAAGACGGGGCAATCCCTGACAGCATGGACGTGGGATAGATGATCAAGTGGAGTCCAACATCAGACTGATAAAGATTAAATTAGGCAGATAAAAACACCAACTAAAACATGTATTGTTAGCTTGTGACATTTGGCAACAGATATCCACATCATTCTATCATGCCTTGAAAAACATATGGTGTGTTTCACCTGTCTGAGCGTGTCTGTCAGTGGGTTGCTCTCATCCTTTCTCAGGAGTGAATATGGTTGTCATGTTCATAAATTGCCTTCTCCATTTTGCTCTCTCCATCCTTTATGAAACCAGGCGCAGAAACTATGCTCTAGTGGCGTCTGTATGAAGTCCGGCAGGAGAGAGAGGAGAGGAAACTTTAGGAACATGATAAGCACTTAAAATATTTCAGAATTCAGTATGTAAGGATACTTAAGGAAACAGAAAAAAATTCGATACAGTCTGCAAATACGGCACAAATTAATGATTAAGAAAAAAGAAGAGAAGATGCTATTACAGTTTCTCAGATTCTATGAATTAGGTTAATATCAGAAATCTGTGAAGAAGGCTGTAGAAACCTGAAAGCACTGGCCCGTTACTGAGTAAGTCCAAAAGACATGTAAAAACAAATCTATAAAAGCTTATACCAGCGATGTGTTTGTCTGTAGGGCATGCTATTGATCATTATCCTTGAGCACAAGCTTAAGCGCATCTCAGGTATATCTTTTTTTACACCTCCAACGTGCACATTTGAAATTAGTATTTGGCATTCCTTTTTTTGTATGTTCGTTTGTGCATTCATTATATTTGCCATGTAGGCAGCAT